CAATTTCAATTCACAAATAGACTTTTTTATGTACAATTGAAATCACAAATAAAAACCTCTCCCTCTCTCTATCATTCCGTCTAAATAATCCATTCCTGCGACTCACCCATCTATACAACTGATCGACCGTGCACAAATAATTTGAAATGCGAAAATGAAAGCCGTATCACATTTTTTTTTATTCCAAATCGTTATTTTCTTTATCCATGTTTTCTTATGGCTCTCCACTCTCGCTCTTAAGCAGCCGCCCTTTTTCCTATCACTGAATCGAGCGACTCCATTGAGCGATCCAAGTGGGAGTCCCAAGCGCCGGTCTTTTCTTTCGTAGAAAGCCGAAGAACCAACAGCCAGTTGTAGTTCAATATCTTGATCGATCGGAGTGTATTTTGCGCTTAACGGTATTTATCCGCGGGGGTGTGCGTTTATAAGTCCCGCGGATTATTGGAACGATGCTGCCCGGTTTCATAACGCCTCTACTCTGTCGATTATTTATATTTTATAAAGGTAGCGTTGGGTTACTTCAAGGCTTAAAATTACAACGGATTTTGATCGGATGGAATACAGTATTGTTTCTTTTTTACAACTTTTTACTACTGAGTGATAATTTTTTTTGTGTTGGTATCATAAGGTATCAAGAAACTATTTAATTGTGAAGATTTTATATTCATTTTTTTATCATACAAATGTTTATTATTTTTGCTAATATTATTTAATAACTTCATACCCTATTTCTAAAAAAGTAAAATTGCTGCTTCAATATTAACTTAAAAACTTCTTATTTTATATGTAATACTATTCTAATAAATAACATTAATGCTTTCTATTGTTTATATAAGTATATTTTTTAAGAAATTGTTATATGATATTTTATATTATACGTTTTTCAGTTAAAAAGTAGATGTTATAATGTGCACGTTTTAATTAAGGTTTACTAATAAAATTGAATAATATCAGCAAGTATATTAAGTTTTAGAAGTATTGAAATATTAGAAGAATTAAAATATTTATTAATTTTATTATATGTAGTTAAAATTTATTTTAAAAAAGTTATTTTTATGAAAATTGCCCACATTGTTATTATATTTATAAAATCGATACAAAGTAATAATACGTTTTGTTTTAAATGATAACTTCCATCTAAAATTTATTTATCAGTCTAAACTTCGGGTCAAGATTTAACCGAAAATTATTTTTATTTTTTTTTAACCAAATATTTATTACGTATAATATGTAATTATAGTATTTGTACATTTAATTTGAATGTTTATTCAAAATAAGATTATCTGTTTATAGAAGAAATATAATTCATGAATCAATATTTTTAAATATATATTCAATGACAATGATCTATAATAATTTCTATTAATAAATAGTCTAAAACTTATATTAATATTTACATATATAAATATATATATTTTAATACAAGCGTAAATTTAGTCTATAATATCAATAAATAATACATATTCTTTCTAAAATTTAACTAAATATTAGGGATTATTTTATTTTTATTTTTTAAATTTTTTTATATTTAGTATTTAAAACATTGTAATTTCTTATACAATATAATAACTAAAATAGTTCCAATATAGTATTATGTGAAAAATGACTACAACTTTCGTTTAAAATCTAATAATTTATGTATTTACTAGCAATTCTTCATAAAATAAGTTTTTTATTAGACATTACCATAAATAATCTTCTTAAGTGTTAAAAAATGTTTTCATTTATTTTTGTTGACCCAATGAAAAGTAAAACAATAGCATTCTTAGTACATTCTCGAAAACTTCGAAATCCTCATACAAGTAATGATAACTGTAATCTCATAAATACCACTAAACTCTGAAATTACATCTCAATAAAATTCAATCTAAAATCTACTTCTGACTACTGTACTTTCATTCTTCCATCTAACTATTAATAAAAATAAAGCTAAAAAATTCTTAATGTCGTCATTATAACTTATATAGTACAATAAAAAAATCCGAGTTCCGTAAAAATTCTTCTTGGATTGTTAATTATATATAAGGAGAATGTCTGTTGTAAACAAATTTTTTAACGAACAGTAAAATTATTGCATAAATGATATTTGCGATGCAATTTTTTAAGTGCAACAAAGTTATTTTAATTTCCCACATATTTTTTATGCATTTTAAAATAAAAATACGACACTGGCGTGATCTATGTATTTATATGGTTTTAGTTTTTTTTAGCTTACAATTTTAAAATAATAGATTTTTGAATTTTTAAACTAAACAAATGAACAAATATTAACTTTATTGTAATTACATAAAAGGATATGGTTCGTTTCATTTATTCTATAATTTGAATAATAATATAATCATCTTAATTATTTATTAAAATTAATTTTTTAATTTATAGTTATTATAAGATATTTATTGAAAGTTGAGAAGATGGTTATGTATCTTATTCAGATTTATAATAATAATTATATAATGTATTATCTCTATAGGGTGTTCTTTAAAATTTTAAATTTTATATTAAGGATTATAAAAATTAGAAAATATAAATTTTTATAATATTTATATTTCATACTGCAAAATGTATCCATACATATTATTTATGTATGGTTATGAAGGTATAATTAAAAAAAATTTGTAAACAATTATATTATAATTATGAAAACATATTAACTGGTAATTTTTTAAATAAATTTAAAGTATAAAATTAATAAATAGCTATACGATATAAATGAAATTTTTATTATTTTCAACTTTATATAAAATATAAAAATTACTTTTCTTTTCCAATAAATGTTGAAATATTTAGGGCGTGAAGAGATTTAATGATATTCTGCTTTACTTCTTATTTACTTTTTCTGTGAACGAAAGTGAGTGTCTTATTTAATCAAATGCTTGTTCTCTCTATTTTCTACTATGATACACTAAATGTTTCTAATAATTATAATCAATAATACATTTAAAATGAAAAATTACCTTAACTGATTTTTAATGTGGATTTCATTGTTATGGAATTTTATATTAGCGTGTGATAAAAACTGTTGTATATATACTCAAGTATAACTTTCTAATAATAGAAAATTTAGTTGCTTTGATTAAACATCCAATTAAAATGTAAATTAAAATTTTTTAAAATAGATAATAGATGCACATATATTTTTACCTACAAAAAGTGTGTATTGAAACTTTGTAATTATTTTTGTATTTACATTGAATATTATTTAAAATATTAATAAAAAGTAATTATAACAATATAAAAACGACAATATATAAATACACAATACAAATACTAATTTTTTCAAATTATTTTACTTTTATGATTAATATTATTATCATTTGTAATTAATTATATATTGAATAATTTATATAAATATTTTTTTATAATTAAAAAAATTTAACCAATATCCTTTTACACTATATTCATTTATTAATTTTAATGCATTTTTACAATTCTATCTCGATTTACATGTTTCTAGCTTACAAATATTCAAATTTAAAAGTTTTTTCATATTAACAAAATATGAATGTATTAAATATATATTCATATATTGAAATATAAAAATAACTTATGATTTAATTAATTAACCACCATTTAGTTAGAATTTATTGATATATGATTGAAGAAAATGTCCTATAATTTTATCATATGTAATTTAATAGAATACATAATAAAAATTCTTTTTTCGACTAATCGAATGGAGTATTGAAAACTATATTATAATTTTAATATAAAAATGTATAAATGGATAAATTATTTTCTGTTATAATCTATTAAATTTTATTTAAAAAATTAATTTATGAACATATTTCAGCCGAATAACTAAATACTATTCATTAACAATTTAAAAATGGGAATATCAATATTAGATATTTTAGCTTTTTTAGCTATTAGATTTCATTATCCTCTTAATTTTTAATATTTAATATTATTTAATATTAAGAATCAATATACTTACATACGCCCTACAATTTATTGAGGACAGTAATCGCAACATCTTTGAAAATTCCAATGAGACCTTGTACAAGTTTATCCTGAAAGTTATATATGGAAGGCCAAAAGAAATATTTCTATGGAATTTACGTTTGTTCCTTTTTTGATAATATGAAGGTTATTGTAAGAAACTATGAACATTACGTTAATACGTCAAGGCATATAAGTAATCATGGTATAAAAAAGTTATTGTAATATCACTTGTGGATCAAGACAGTAATAATACTTAATTGTTATTTTTAGTATTGTGTTAGAGATTATCAAGTTTTTCAAATTAAAATATAACTATGTATCGTCAATTACATATTGTAACGTGTTCAACAGCAATTATTTTTGACTTCAGTTAGACTTCAGTATTAATTTAAAAATTTTTAAATTATCCAATAAGCAGTTATTTGATTTAATTTAATGAAAAAATAATCCAACGAAGTTAGAATTATTATTGTTATTATATCTCAATAAATCAGTGCATTAAATATATGCATTTAAACAATTTTTTGTTATAAAATTGGAAAAAGGACTTTCAAAAACTTTGTACCAATAAATTATCGGTGTAATAACTAAGTCTTTAATTTTATCTATTGCACATAATATCAATGACATAATACTATATACTAAATTATTTTATTTATTATTTATTATTTATTATAGTAAACAATAAATTTCATTTACTTTTCATTCAGCCCTATATCTATTATTATTGGCGTAAATTAAAATCATTTAAAATGATGATTACGAATGATGATCAATACTGTTATTTATATTTATAACTATACAATTAATCATTTATTTATTACATATTAGGTGAAAGTCCGGTAAATTTTTCTTTATTTCCTACGGGACAATGTCTATTTTGCTGTCCAGTCAATTTGGATCGTGATATCTTGTATCAATTATACACTAGGTACTCAATTATTACTCTATTACTATTCAATAATTATTTATTTATACGTGTTTGTAAACTTTACGACCTATAAACATTGTGGTATAACGATTTCTATGAATAACTTTTTTCATTACAAAAGGCGGAATCCTACAGTTCCACAAACTCTTCAGCCCGGAAATTCGTGTAGTTTACGTAGGAGTAACTTTAATGTTAGTCAACCGACTGTCTTGTATATACATGGTTACAGCGAACGGTCTCCTGGAATAAGCGGCTCCAGTATAAAAAATGGTTTGCTTTAATTTCTATTGTATTTATAATCTATATTTATAACTGTATTTATAACTATCATGTTTTATGAAGAGCTTATAAGCAAAAACAATTTTGGCTTATGCGTTGCTTTAAAAAAATCTTTAAATTATAGCAGTTATTATTAAAATATTAACATATACTCAAGATTATAAAAATATCAATAACTAATATCTCAACAGATCTATCTGCAAGAAAAACCATTTTCGATCACTATATTTATATTTTATCTATAAAATGTATTTAGATTTATTGGAGTGTGCAGGAAAAAATGAAGCTAATTTATAAAAAATCTTCTCAATGAATATTCGCATAATAATATCAGTATAAACAAAATAAATAATGAATATATTTTCTATATGATTTATATAGAATACACAAATACATTATATCTATATAATTCCATATAATCTGTATAATAGAAAAGCATAGGACTTATAATTAATATATTTCTCAATGTGATTAAACAAATTTTTAAATGTTTATAAATAAAATATTTAATAATGTAAAATATATAGTAAGTGCATTCATTAATATACATAAAATTGAAAGGATACATAATATTAATGATATTTTGAATGTTCAAAGTAATTTTATGTGTAATAAAATTCAAATAAAAATATGGCTAATAATACAAATATTTATAAATCGACAGCTTATTTTCAAATAAGTTTATTAGCTTTTTTTACTCGATTTTGACATTTAAATATTTTTCATGTTAAGGATTTAGAAAATATATTTTAGATTTTATAAATTCCTTTAAAAAAGTATATTAAAAATATATTTTTTTATATTTATACTGTAAAGACTTTAAATATTCGAAATTTTGTAATAATATAAAAATTAATATATATTTTATTGTTTATGTTTTTACGAATGCATATTTGGTAATATTTTTGTTGTCTAAAAATGGTACAATATTTTATTATTTGATTAAAAAAAAATTTGGTCGGGATTTCATACGGAAATATTAATGTTAGCAAGTCATTATCAAAGTATAAAATTTAAATTTATATTTTTAAAAAATTTCCTTTTATAATGGCACTTTTTATTTCTTGAATTCTTTTAATAAAATTTTCATAATTGTTTTATATTGTTTTCTATGATATGAACAATGTTTGTTATTAATAAACAGTCAACACTAATAACTAAATTATGAAATATTACTTGAGATTACAATGTATACATTTATTCAAAATTCTATGTGAAATTAATAAAAAGTTCAAATTTATCAACAAAATTTTAATTACCCTAATAATAATGCACTTGAGAATTTAATTATTTTATTGATTAAAAAGTAAAAAAAAGTAATGAAAAAGATATTGAATGTTACAACAGAAACAGAGAAAATATATGGAATTAAACAAAACTCAAGTATCTCGGGGCTAAATACAATCATTAACTTAAGAATATTTATTTTTATTATCAATGAATATATTTTATTTACATTAATGATGTGAAATAATAATTATAACAGAGGAAATTATATAGTATTCATACGAATACAATATATTAATATTAATATCATATTACTTGATTTTAAAACGAGAAAAAATGTTGATAAAGTTAGTTTTTATCTTATAATATATAAATTTTGTATAGATATTTGAATTCGTAATGATTTTGAATATATTCAATACAGTTTATTTTTGATCTTGAATGATATTTAAACTCGAAGTAATGTAAGATTATATTATAATAAAAATATCTTTTATGAGTTTAAATGATGCAGAATATAGTAGCTAGATATTGTTAAATGAATTTCAAGGTGAACAGTACGAATGGTATGAATTATCGAGAAAATTAATGAAAATTTTATCTGTATAGTATGGAAATAATTTATAGTTATCTAAAATATTAACTGCTCATTATTTTCAATTTAAAAAATTTCACATGGAAATTCGTAACCATAATTTCAGCCTATCTCATACGAAATAACTTCAATGTCATTTTGGTGGATTGGAGCAAATTGGCGACGATGCCTTGGTACGTGAAGGCAGTGGGAAATACAAGAATAGTTGGTCCACATGTAGCAAGTACACTTAGGTGGCTTGAGTCAATCGGTGCTTTCAACTTGCGAAGGGTGCATGTTGTGGGATTCAGTCTCGGAGCTGAAGTCGCGGGCTTTATGGGCAAGGCGCTGTTTCCGCAAAGAGTAATTTTCAAATTTACTTCGTTCTTCATTCTAATAATGCACACTTTCGTTTATCTAATCAATTAAAAATTATTTAATTTTTGAAGTAATATTAGAAATTATTCGATTTTATAAATTTGTAATATTATATTTTTCTATTGAGACTTTGTGTATACTGTTCGAATAATGTATTCTGATAAAATCAATTAAATTAATTAATATTTTTTAAAATATATATTATATTTATAGAAGATAATTTCGAGGTAAACTCCTTTTTCTTAAAAAATGAAAAGAAAAAAATTATTAAAATAAGCTTATATTTTATTCTTCTTTGATAATTGTATTTTAATGCGTATACGTTTGCACACTTTAAGCGTTGTTTTTACATTTTTCGAAACTGCAAAAATGCGCATATGCTATACATAATTATGTAAAGTACAGGACGAGTCATATTAAATATCATCTGCTCACAAAAGTCTTGATAACTCCGTAATTAATATAGGTTGGTAGAATAACTGGACTGGATGCGGCTTATCCTTTGTATATGAATACTGGAGCTGAAGGACATTTAACTGCCGCCGACGCCGAATTCGTCGATCTTATACACACTGACGGCGGTGTCCTCGGTTTCCCTATTCCCTTGGGCCACGCAGACTTTTACCCGAATGGTGGCAGGCCATTACAGCCTGGCTGCAACCTCGAGAATGTCCTTGCCATGGGCATCAGCAAAATTATTAATCGATATAGTATGTAACCTTCTTCATTATTTATAAAAACTTCATTACATACTGAATGAGCAAGAATAATTTTAAAGATTACACTTACATTTAGTTTGATAAGAATGAAACAACAAACTAAAATGAAACTTCAAACATTTATCTTGTAAGTCATTTAAAAGTTACATTCAGTTGAAATTGTATTCATCCAATTATTAATGAAATAAAGTAAATTAAAATTCGAGATTATATTTTATGCTATCTCACGGTATAAAATAATTATAAACGTAGCTCATTATTTATTACATTATTTTTATTATATTAATAAATTCGCACGATTATATTACTCGTAATGAATGAATATGAAAATAATTAATCAATTTTCATTGTGTTATCTAAAATCTATTTACATTTTATTTTTATTTTTTTTAATATATAAATAAATAATTTACGTATTTATCTTTAATTGATTCTTTGTGTTGAAACAATAATTACAAGATATTATATATAATTTATTGTCAGATACATACAATTATAATATGGTTTGAAGAAAAAAAAAATATATATATAAGCTAATTTTAAAAATATAAAATATTTAATTTACCATTTTTTCATTCCAAATTTATTAATCTATTTAAAGAAATCAGCTATTGAATAGTAATAACAATCTATTACTTTGCGCAAACTAACAATTATTTCGATTATAATAGCAACGAAAAAGCGAGACACAAAAGAATAATTATTTTATTTGATTGGAAAAACGCGCGTGTCAAAGAGAGAGTCGACAATTTGTAGCTCACATGTCTCAGTTACATGTAGTCACCATCGGGCCTGGCGCTTCTACGTCGAATCCATAACCGACCCGACGGGATTCCCTGCGAGTCGCTGTCCCAAATGGCGCCCGGATATCCGCGTTCATTGCCGCTGGACACCCGATGCTCTCATGGGTTACGCCGCGAATCCGCGTATCAGAGGGATGTACTATCTACGCACCAACGCCAATCCACCCTACGCCCGTAATATTACCGGCTATTGTTAATAGGATGGGCTATTATTGAAAGAAGAAATTGTCTGACTATGAATACGGAATCTGATTTATTTATCAAGTTCAATTGGTAAACATAATACTGAATTAAAATGTTTTGAGAAGACAGTTTTCTTTTCAATATCTATATTATTTCAAGAGCTAATTATGAGATATCAAGGATACGTAGATTCTTATGTAATTTATGCTTTCTCCAAGATCATAAGAAGTTTTAATAAATAAAATTCTATTTATGTAACAATAAACAAATGCGAATGAAAGGTGCAAACTAATCGACAAAGAATGTGTCTATTAATATTACTTTTTATTGGATTGAATCGATCCTTCTAATTTAGTATAAAAAAATATCTTAAAGTTTTATAATTATATATTTTTACTTATTTTACATAAGTAATGGAATAATTAAGGTATTTTTATGTCCATATATTTTTATTACTTACATCATTTGTTTATTGGGTTTTATAAGATGATACAAGCTATAAAATTGAACCATAAATATTAAAATAAGTGATATCCAATTTTTAGGTAGGAATATTTTACTAAGATACATATTCTATTATTCTTAATATCTATACTTATTTTATACACATTAAATTTTGTTCAAAACATTTCTACAAATAATGAAATTTTTAATAGGTAACTTTTAATCTTATGAATGTATTGTAATAAAAGTTCTATATGAAATTTATTAAGTATAATACAGGTTTCTGATCTAAATAAATGCTTTTTTACTTCAATTTCATAACTAATTATGGTTTTTATATTAATATACTAAGAATAACATTAACTGTGAAAATGTATAAGTCTGTAAATAATTTTTTCTTTAATAAACGAGAAACAATTCTATATTAGTATATTTAAAACGTAATACGACAAAGATAGTTTTTCGAAAATGACAAATGTTTATTATTCTGTACGCGTATACTACATGATATATTAGTAGTGTACATTATGTGAGTAAATTAAACGCTTAATTTTTGTAAAAATTTTAACAAATTTTATTTTATTGACATATTTGATAGATGATATGTAAAAAATGAACGAATTATATATATATATATATATTTATAATAGAATAATACTATTTAATAGCGGAATATTATTCATTTTGTATAAAATATATTAAATTCAAACTATTAATATGTAACAAATTAATTAATTAATTCTATTACTACTAAATTTATTAACAGAATACTATATGATGTATTTATTTTCTATATTTAAAAATATAAGTAATAATTATTTTGTTAAAATACTGAATTACAAATATTTATTTTCTATTTCAAATTAGGTATATTATAATATATTTATTTATAATAAAATTTTTTTTTTATAATAATATACAAATAACAAACAACAAATAATATACAAATTTTCAACATTTTCAAAGTAATAATTAGTTTTTTCCTTTCTTAATGATTTTTAACAAATTGGAGATTTTGAAACGGTATTTTGATAATCATTTTTCATTACATTATTACATTAGAAGTTAGATATTCACAATAAATTATATTTAGAATGATATAATGCTTAACAATAAGATAATATTTTAATTTAATTGGAACACGTGATAGAATATAATATATTACATACAAATATATAATATATTAAATTTTAAATGTTTTGAAATACATTTGATTGAAATGATAGTTACTGAAGATATCCATTTTTATATTCGATATGTTGAGTATATATAATCAGCTAAAGTTTGAATCCAGAGAAGTTACTATTGTGATATAACAGCGTTGTGATTATAAAAATACACAACATAATTATTTATGTTACCAAAATTTACCATCTAAGGTTTCCATCTTTGAATAATCCAGATATCTAAAGGCAATCAACTTAGTTTTTTCAACTTAACAGTGAAATCACCGTGAAATCGATGCACTTTCACAATAAATGAGCGATAAAATGACGCCAATCAATTGAAAGAAACGGAAGCAATGACATCTAGATTAAAACCAATGAAATATCGAGTGCTTTTTTACTTGTATTGACAGATAAAATTTTCCGTTTATATTATTTAATTAAATATGCTGGGATACTTTGATAATTTTATATAATTAGATGATTTTGTAATTAAATAATTTTTTTTAGATATATAATTTTGCTGATTACAAGAAATCTTATTGTGCATATTACAATATATGTAATTCATATGTTAAAATTATATTCAAATTCAAATTTTACGTTAGTATTATTTATTTATTTTTTTAACTATTTATTATTTATCAATAATTATTTTATGAATATTATCTATTAAAAGATATGCTATTTAAATGATCATTGTAAAATTATAAATATTTAATGAAAATCGTTATATATTTGTAAATTATTTTGAAACTATTTTCATTTTCAATTATGTATATCAAACTATTAAAAAACTTCTTATGTAGAATAATTATATGATTTTCCTTATTTACAATAAAATAAGATGCTTTGTATGTAATCAAAATATTATAGTATTTATTTTTTAAAAGAAATCTTATCTTAATTAGAAGTTATTATTATAACATTTTTTTATTCTACTCATTTTTATAAGTTGTAACTGATTTATCAATTATATTTAAAGAGTAATTTTCCAAATGAAAGTTATACAAATAGACATCTAGAAATGAAATTGTAAAAAAATATAGTACTAATACAAAATTTTCTCTGTAAATTAATGATTTGTGGTAAATGTGAAATATGCAAAATCGTAAAATGGCGTGTCTTAATACCTAGTAATTGGTGTTATTTTCAATCGGCCTAACTATTTCAGCGCATTAAAAACGAGAGATTGCATGATTCCAAAAAAAATGGCTTTGACTGAAGTTTTTTTACACTTCTTAATAATTTAAAAGTCTTCAATTTATCTCTTCCGTCAAAATTGGGACATGTCAATCAGACTTGGCTTTTCTTTATTTTTCTATTTCTTTCTCTTTGAATTTATATCATATCATCTCATGAGTTTTTAAAAAACAATAAAAATAATTATTGCTTGACTTATTTGAAAAATTATGATAAGGCCTACTCAAAATGGAGGACTATATACTAACATTACAACTTAACTAATTAAGTTTTACATAACTATGTCAACATTGCATTGTATTCCTTTGGAAACAATAAATCAAAGGGGAATAGGTGTGAACTGCATTATTCTATAACAAGATTAGGATACACTTTTATGCAGAAGAAATAACATCTAAACCTGGATATCTAAAAGTAACTATTTGATAATAAATTTTTCAAGTAAACAAATTATCTAAAAGTAATCTTATAAATTGCATGAAAATATTAGAAAAGTACTGAGGAGATCGATCAACAAGTAATCTGAAAATTAGAGATTAAAGCTGCACTGCTTATTTTTAGCTGTAAATACGAGTAATAACACATGACACATAAGTGTGTGTTAAAAATGCAAAATATATGTAGAAAATATAACAAAGATAGATAATGTTAGTATATTATATTTTTGTCTAAAAAAAAAGAAATTGGATTATCGAATTCATTGCATCAGCATTTATATTTATAATTATAAATCGAACCATAATTAGTTACATTATGATATAATAGTCTAGTCTGCTATTTGATAATAATGTTGTTTTTTTTCGTATCTATGTAGCCACTTTAAAGTATACAGATATAATTACTATCTATCTAGAAATTAGTCCTCTGCTACCGTTGAGTGATTCAGCTTACTAGATTTTTTTTATTTTTTCTCGAACTATCTTAAATTTATAATATCGAAAATTACGTATTCCAATACTTTAATAGAGATAAAGGAATTCATTAACACGAATACATATAATGAATATTTGTTCGGAAAATAATTCCACAATCTGTCTCGTCAGCCAAACGTGCAAAAATCAACTTAGAACAAAAAACCCACTAGATGTTGTGTGGGATTGCCGGGCAAGTAAAGGGTTAATGCATCGATTCAATAATTAACACATATTTTTATTATTGCTGTTTAATTCATTTATTTTACTTTATTTCCAATGGGAATTATTAACATTGGTGAAATTACAAATGATCTTTATATTTCTTGATAATCTTGTGGTGTTGATATATCTGTTTATTGGATAATTAGAGGATAATCAATTTCTTATTCTCTGCATGTCACTGGTGAGATTATGATTTACTGTAA